TCGCTTTGCCTTTTACTTAAATGATTTAGTGGATGCGGATGCAAATGTTCATTGTTTATATGGTGCTGCCAATGTTTTCACGAAGTGAGAGAATGCATTGTAAAAAATGTTATGAAACATTGGTTTGAGATAAAAAATGGTATTGCAAAGTGGCTGGATTTTTTTCATATAGTTAGTATGCATTCAGTTTTTATATACGTTTGTGTGATAGCATGATGGTTTGATTTTGTTGCATTGATATATACTCGTATGAGGTAGTGTCTGAATTGACTTGAGTCACGTCATCATCTACTCGATGATACCAACTCTCGATCACTGCTCACGTGTCTACGTCCGGGTCTGATAAGAATCATCCTCCACTCAGAGCTCATGCGTCCACGTCCTACCCGGTTCTGATACGAAAACTGGATCCACGTATCTGCGTCTATGAAATCCTGAGAGCTACACATCCGTGTCTGATTATTGAGGTTCAGCCAAAAAAATGCGGCCCCAGTCCAAAGCATGGGCATATATCTAGTGATAAGATGATATAACTACCATATCTAACCCCTTAATCGTTTGTGATGCGATGAACGTCACTGCCGCCTGGTAAGGAAGAGACCCAAATCGAACAGGGTGCATCAGGTACTTGGAAAGCAAGATATCGATTAGATAGCCTTGACGACCAAGTTGATCCAATAAGATCTGATAGATTCTCCTTGTAAGAAACTAGAAAATTGTTGATATATATCATTCAACATTTCATCTATAACCCTACCCTCGAACTATATAAAGAGAGGTAGGGGTAAGTCATTCATATATTAGACATTCATAGTTAGGAACACTAGGCACATTCATCAGCGCCCCTATAAATCACCGAGCATACTGTCTAAGTGATTTATTCTTCACTGGACGTGGGGTACCCTCTTTGATGTATAGTACATTCCGTTGTACCTCACCGACTTAGCCCACGTCTAGCTCGAGCATCTTCCTCGCACACCATTGAAGGGTTGAGCGACCTCGAAAGGCACCTCATCGACAACTTCGAGGGGGCCTACACCAAGCCCAGCACCACGTGGGACCTCACCAATGCAATTGCCAATGAGAGCACGAGGAACAACTCCGCGACTACATCCAACGCTTCACCTACAAGCACAATGAGCTCCCCAACATCCCGGAGAAAAAGGTCATCAACACCCTTCATGAGAGGAGTCGGTGCCAAGAGTTGGTGCACAAGATCGGTAGAAAGGAAGTGTCGATTGACATGCACACTCCTCGACATCGCCATCAGGTATGCCAACGGTGAACCATGAGGTGTTTCCTAATTCTCGAAAGATTGATCGCTCATCCATTCCCCTAATCCCCATGGAGTTGATTGATCCAAAATTGACGCTTCTGTAATGTTGGGGTGAGAGAAAACACAAATGGTAATGCTACCATTAAGATGTCTGGAGGGCCAGACACCTCGATCCACTCAGTGCCGCATGTGCCGCTCATTTCAAAAAACATGCCTCACCTAACAAAATCAACTCCCGCATGCCTCGCTCTGCTCCGCTCCCACCCTTACCCATGCCGCGCTCCGCACCCCTGCCGTAGCGCACCAACGCCCGTCGTCCTCCCCCACCGGGAGCCCCTCTCCCCCACCCCGAGGAGATCCATGGAGTAGGAGTGAGATCCACTTGCCTCCGGCGAGATCCATGCAGGTGGCGCGACGGTGTTGCAAGGGAGTGGGCGGCTCTCCTCCACCCCGACACGGCGCCCTCCCCCACCCCTGGCGACGCCCTCTCTCACCACGGCGACTGAGCTCCTCCCACCCCGGTGGCCATGGCACTCCTCGCCCCCCATCTCCCACCGTCGTCGTCAAGCCAAGCCTAGTACTAGTGACGGTGGTGCTCGTGCGTCACCGCTCGCCGCTGGCTCTGACTCTAATGGCTAGAATCGATTGGCCCAGGCTTCCCCTCTCCTATGTTGCAAATGTATGTTTTAGGTGTTTGAGTCGTTTCAAAGGTATGTTGTAGTTGTTTCTTATGGATGTTGCAAAAGTAGATCGCGGGATGTTGCACATGTTGCTTATGATGCAAGTGTTTTAGAAGCATGTTGCAAACATTTCTTCAAAAATATTTCATCTATTTCCAGACGTATGTTGCAATCGTTCTTTATCTGGATGTTGCATATGTTTTCACACATATGTTGCAACAGTATGTTCCAAATGTTTCAGTTGTTTCTGTCTTTTGTTGTAGTAAATGTTGTTTCATGTTGCAGTTGTTTTATCTGGATGTTGCATATGTTTCATACATATTGTAAGTGTGTGTCCCAAATGTTTCATCTGTTTCAAATGTATGTTGCATTCGAGTATTTCATGTTGTAAGTGCAGATCGTGACGTTGTTGTCCATGAGGGCGGGTAGGGCCAAGCCGCGGCCACCGACGTGTGGAGGAGGCGCAGGCCGCCGCTGGTGGTGTGGGGGGAGGCAAAGGCCCGTGCGGTGCTGTTGTGGAAGAGGCGGGGGCAAGTCTTTCGGGCGGCCTGTAAGAGACGGGCACCGCGCCGGTGTGGAAATGGCGGGGGCGAGTCATCCGAGCAGCGTGAGCAGTGGATCTGAAGCGGGCGGATCGGACATGAGCGCTGGAAATAGAGCTGGCGCGGGCGGCGCGTGAATCTAGCCAGACGGGGCGGAGCAGCCGCGGGCGTCCTGACGGTGCTAGTGCTGACTATAGGGATCCTGAATCTTGAACAACCGAACAACAAAGTGGTTCACCACTCTTGCACAATTGTGAGCAGCTGGCATGATTGCTGTGACAGGTGACAACAAATTATGCTCTTCCCACTCATTGGGGGACCCCGCACTAGGCCAGTACGGCCATGGCCTTCGTCGTGGCCCAAATAAACAGGGAGCAACTCTTCAATTGTTTTGGCCCATCAGCCCAACAAAGAGTTAGCCCAGCCAGGAATAAGGCAGCTCGTTCACCCGACTCACACCACCTCGCTCGCGAGTTGCATCTCATCCTCGTCCGTCACTCCGTCTGGAGTCGCGCCATCGTCCGCCTCGCCACCAAGGGCGTCGCCGTTGCGCGTCACTCCCTGCCTCCCTCCGGCCCTTCGCTCCGCATCTGCGCTCCGCCCCTCGCCGGCACCGTGGCTCCGCATCTGCGCCCTCGGTGGCTCGGCTGGTCGCCGGCTGCCCGCCCGCCGCCCAACGCGGCAGCGCCCCAGCCCCCAGCCCCTGCGGTGGCCATCCCAGCCCCCTAGAAGACAGGAGCTGACAACTGAGGATCAGAGGAGCTGCAGCCCTGGTTTGCATTGTTTTCCAATTTCAATTTTCAATCCTTCTTAGTTGGTAGAGGTTGGATTCCAGTTACATTCTAAGATTACAGTGTACAATATGAAGGACTAGGACTTTAGTAATGTATTTCTCTCGAGTACCTGGCTTTCAGAGTTTAGCCGCTAAAATTTGGCCCTAGTCTTTTACAAATCGTGGGTCCGCCACTGTTCCCACTGACACGATACAAAGTTTTGTTTGACAGATCGATAGATAGAATATCATAAGCCACGCACCACTCAATATAAAAGAGCAACATGGTACTTACGCAGAATACTTAATCAGAAATCATACATGGTAACAGGCATTGAAGCTTTATAAATCAGCCGCCTTATTGCAATAATGAAAAGGCTTGCCAACTGCCATCATATCCATAGGTAGATTCTCCGTTGTACAACAAGAGGAGACGTTTAATTTGTTGGAGCTTCTAGTCATACTTGCCCTGGACATGGTACTTGCACATCTTTTTCTGGGCGCAGTTGATGAGAATTTCAGCAGAGTCGATACCTGTCAACATATATACAATGAAAATTCACGCCGTAAGTTTCAAATTAAGCTTATATCACTAGCTAGAAGTCTTGGCAAGCTCAAGGGTAGGCAATTGAAGACCTCATGTGAATACATATATCTACCTGAAAGATAAGCGCCATGGACATAGCCATTGTAGTGCTCGCTGGTATGCTCACCGGTGAAGTATACCCTTCCAACCGGTGCCTAGAATGCAGAAAAAAGAATTTGAGGTTCAAAGTCAAAGGATGAGGCCTTCAAAAATAGGAGCATAATAGCAACATATATAGAAGCACAAAATTGAAGATCCATATGGTAGTACCCTAAGCTGGTCGTATTCGTAGCGGTTGACACCAATTGGCCAATTGGAGAAGGTGCCCTTGTAGAACCTGTCAGACCACCATCTCGGGACAAGGATGTCGGTGGCATCCGGGACGTCCTTGCCGGGGAACATCTTCCTCAGCACTTGCATGATCTCTGCCTTGGTCTGGTTGTCCGACTGCTGCTCAATACGCCTCGACTCCTCGTCGGTCACGGTGACAAGGAGGACGTTGGCACCAGGATACTGCTTCTCAAACTCCTGAGTAGATCATATATTGTTGCAAAATGTTCAGTATTCGTTCAAAATTTGATTTAATTCTGCCCATAAAAAAAAAAACTATATGCTAACAATAACATCATTGATGCTTTCTGTACCTGCCACACTCCATAGTAACCTCTCCTGCTGCTCGCGTAGAGGAAGAACTCTCTCCCTTTCCCTTCAGGCCAGAACTTCTTGGGGAACTTAAGGAAGATCTTGGTGTACACGGCCATGTCGAATTGGTAGATCGCCGTAACCTTCCATGCCTGGGACAGACAAGGGAAATTGCTGAGGAAATATATATGCAAGGTAGAAGGTACCCTTATATATATACATATATGGATGGGAATATATAGTTGAGGTAGGATCTACTGACAGGTAGCTGCGGCTTGAACTGAATGAGAGCGGATTGCAGGACACCCAGGCTTGCAGAAACCATAGCATAGTCTGCCCTGTACACCGAGTTGTCCTCCGTCTTCACGGTGACGCCACCCGGGGAATAGCTGATCTCTCGCACCACCTATTTATTATGTATATATACATGCATGTGATTTGTTGTATTATCTACGACCTTATACATCGCAGCATCAGAGAAGAAAAATGCAAGCATGTATACCTTGTTGAGCTGCAGCCGCGGGTCGACGATCTTTCCAGACCTGTCGGTCTTGAGGAACTGGCCGGCGAGGTAGTACACGACGGCCTCGTAGCCCCGCTGGTCGGCGACGAAGTAGACGTCGTCGCCGAAGTGGCTGAAGGTCGAGAGAGGGACGACGTTCTGCAGGCTGGTCACCCGCGGCGGCTCCGCGAACTCGTAGTCGAACTTGTAGTAGTCTACCACCATGTCCACCGGCGTCGCCGGCCCGTTCGGCTGGCTGCCCATTGCATGCATTAGTTAGTTTGCAGTTTTACAGTCCTTTTTTTTCAAATTACAGACCACTCCTATTCAGCAACACCTCTAGCTCAGAAATTATTCCATCGGTATATAATATATAGGACGTACTGATCGTTGAGGCGCTGCATTGCAAGGATAGACATGTCGTCCCTGCCACTGGCGTGCAAAGTGCCAGAGAGTTTCTCCCCGAGCTCTTCCACACCATCCGCTCGGTCAATTCTCTTCTGAACATAATCTTCATCGTAGAGGCCACCGCTGCAGTTTATATATACAGCAAAATGCACACATGAATAAATACAATAACATGCTGTCAAGTATAATATCTGTAGTAACTCCCAAATTGCTCGGAATTGAAAAACAGACGGGTAAGATTGGTGCAGGGAAGTCAAGCACAAGCTCCACCTCCATCTTGAAGCCAGGCGAACAGCGCGCAAGCTCTTGCCGGGAGTTTGAGGATGAAACCATATTTACAATGATCTAGCCAACATTTTTCATATTAATTAGCCTTTCTTAGATCTAATTTCCATGCTCCTTTTTAAAAAAAAAAATATGAAGCACGTTTTTTCTACATCCAATGTTTCAAACCAAGCTATGATATATGGCTCACTTATCCTATAGTACTACCTCAAGGAAGAAATATTTGATACTTTGCCTATGATCTACAGTCAGCGTAAAAAAGATTTATTTTACGGTCAAAAAATATTTGATGCTTTGCCTATAAAAAAGATTACCGAAGACAACCCAATTTATTTTCAGAGACGTTCATGTGCATCTTCACCTCCTAAAATACCCTTGACATTTTCAGAGGTAGATGCCTAAACAAGCCACCTCTCCAAATGAAGGTGGAGCGTCTTCAAGAGCCATCGGATCTAGGCGTCTTCATCGCCGTGGCGGCCACGGGGATCCATGGAGTGGGGATCCTACCGTCTAGCTATTGAGTCGACCGTGGCCAAAGTGCAGTTTTATTAAATTATCCATGAAATATGTTTTGATTGTGCATCTGTTTAGATTTTATGTATATTTTCTAAAGGTTTCGTTGAAGTTAAAAAATGTTGACTTATAACAAATCAAGGTGAACTATAGTTTTAACGGATGGAACGGAGTAGCTAGCAGAGCTCATCAGCTCTCTATAGTCGACGTACTCCTCCTTGTAGACGTTCTGGGCGAGGTAATCAAAGTCGGAGCGGAAGTTCCGGAGCTTGAGCGTGGAGTTGACGATGGGCCAGATGGGGTTCATCTTGCCGCCGTTCACGCCCTCCACCCAGTTGGCGCCAACCTCGACGTTGATGCCGGCGAAGTTCTTCTTGTGCATCCGGCCGCCGATGTGGTCCGTCGCTTCCAGGATCAGCAGGTCGGTTACCCCGGCGTCCGACAGCCTCTTCGCCGCCGAGATCCCTGAAAAAGTATCCATATATACCTCATCATCTCATCAACATCGTCGTCAGGGCAGACGTGTTGTTTGATATGTATGACATATATATGTTTACCGGACATGCCGGCGCCGACGACGATGACCCTAGGTCCGACGGTTGCGGCGAGGGAGCCACGCTGGGCTAAGGTCAGTGCTAGGAGTACTGCTGCTGCTAGCACGAGAGCACTAGACGTGGAGGAACTCATCTCTCTCTAACTGATGTCGCTCTCTAATCTATACAGCAGTCTGAAGTGAATGCATTGCCCGGCCCTATCGACGCACTTCGCACTATGCAGACACAGTCACACACGTATATGTAGCGTGATATATACTAGTGTGTTTGTGCGTGTGTATACACATAACACTAGTCGAGAACAGACCTTTCATCCGAGGCTAAAATGGGCTCTAGTCCTGGCATTATTTGCGCCCGGGACTAGAGAGACCTTTAATCCCGGTTGGAGTCTCCAACCGGGACTAAAGGTCCCTGCCCAACGACTACTGCGCTCGGCACAGTGGCAGGGGACCTTTAGTCCCGGTTGGAGACACCAACCGGGACTAAAGGTGGACCTTTACTCCCGGTTGGAGCCACCAACCGGGACTAAAAGTCCTCCAACCTTTAGTCCCGGTTGGTAACACCAACCCGGACTAAAAGTCCCCCGATGGGTTAGTTCAAAAGGGAAGCATCCCATTCATTGTTAGATGTGTTGTGTAGGTGGGGTGGTAAGCTACGCGCGAGGCAATGCATGAGGTCTTGGATTCGAATCTCACGGGACACAGCGGTGGGAGGCATTATTTTTTTTTAAAGCTGGAAGGACCTTTAGTCCCAGTTGGTGTTGACCCGGGACTAAAGGACCCCTTTTAGTCCCGGATGCTTGCTCCTGAGTGGGGAACCGAGACTAGAGGGGGTTCCCCACCAGGAGTAAAGCCCGTCTCGGTATTAGTGTAACATGTGATAATGCATGCTAGTCCATCTTCATACCAGTTTATTTTAATATACTGTGAAAATGCCGTTGGATCTTGTTACTTCTTTTACACGTTCCCGAAGTTTTGGATTCTATAATTTCAAAAGCTCTGGATTCTTTAGTTCACTCATATAAGTTTTGGATTCTATATATATAATCTCAAGTTCTATCTCAACATACGAGACATCTCCACATCATATTCCACTAATAGCCATATCATGTTACTAATTTCCAACCTTTTAATGCAAGCTATCCATATCATCTCAAGTTCTATCCAAACACGTAAGACAACCACATCATCTTCCACTAATACGCATGTCATGCCACTCACTACCACAGATATGGACATCACTGTGGGTTCAAAAACCCATTTCACTGCCAGATTTTGAACCGACAGTGGCATACCGGCAGCGATGGGAGGTTGACATCACTGTCGATTCTAAAAAAACCGACACTGATCTACAGGCAACAGTGTCGGTTCCTGAGTCCACCCGGCAGTGTCCAGTTAAATAACACTGCCGGTTTGTAGTCCCAACCGACAGTAAAGGTTGCATCAAGAGTGTCGGTTCTTGGCTCAAGCCAGCAGTGTTGAGCAAGCTTACACTGTCGGTTTATGGCTCAAACCGGCAGTATCGTCGTAACCATCACTGTGGGTTCATGGCTCAAGCCGACAGTGTTGAGCAAGCTAACACTGTCGGTTTGTTGCTAACCGACAGTGATGGTTACGATAACAATGCTGGTTTGTTGCTAACCAGCAGTGATGGTTACGACAACACTGTCGGTTTGTTGCTAACCGGCAGTGAGGGCCCGTTCGCATTTTATTGTTTTATAATTTATTTTAATTTATATTTTTTCATAGAATCGAGTTTCGCTTTATATACGCTACGTAGACGACATGTCCATCAATATTAAACATTACAAATGTTACAGTTACAATTTAAATGTTCTTATCCAGATCTCGATCCCTCAAAATAAAAAAAAGAAATGTTCTCAGACTTCACAGATTGTGTAGTGCTTCTTAGACTTCTTATAATAATCTGGTGAGCCGCTCTGGGCCATACTGGTCCTTGTACTTCATGGATTGTGCAATGGAAAATACTCCATCTTTTTCCAATACCTCGGCTAAGATGAATTTTGCCAGCTCTAATTGCAGTGCGACGATCTCCATGTCTAACAGTCTTTCGTGGTTATATTTCTTGCGCCGTCGCTCAAAAAAGATGATATCCAAAGGGGAACAGTAAATTATTTTGTTGAATTATTAACAGACATAAATAAAATGGAGATTATACACACCAACTTATCGGCTTTTTTCGATTTCCCGCCGATGTACCGGAGCATTGCCCACATTACATAAAACCCGCATTCATTGTTTCCCGCCGGCTGTGATAGGTACTTCCCCTCTATTTCGACAACCTTGAATGGGACCTGCATCCCACCGATATGTCTTCTTCAGACACTGAGCAACATTAAAGAGAGAAACATTAGAAAGCGGCATGTGTGATTAGAAAATAATATGTTATTAGAATCGCTTACTGATTCAGCACTACCACCAGTGCATCCAGATGATGAAATGGTTTTTTCTTCGAGTCCCACACCTCGATCAGATTTTTGACAAGATTAACACAAATAAAGACGAAATGGTTGCTGCAATCATAGAATCCTAATTATCGAATAATCTTAACGAAAAAAGAAGCATAAAATTAAAAGTTGAGAACACATACTCGCAGTTATAGGCTAGAAGTATGTGAGTTTTGTTCTTCATCATGAATTCGTCGAAAACAGCAACCAATCTCTGTTTCAGGTCTTCCACGTCACATCTATGGAGGCCTAGACATGTCCTCTCATTGACTCGCAAGGGGTCCAAGAAGCCTATGTAATCCTATTTGCTTTTTTAGAATGCAAAATTTTGCTATACACCTACATAAAATCATGGGAAGTGCTCAAAAGTTAACAATTTATGTCTCGAGAGAGTAGTTAATTGTAATATCGTGCATGTAGGGTACTTACATAGTCCACAACGTCAACATTTGAACATTGAGAGAGCGTTTCTGGTATAGCTGGAACAAGCACTCCCACTCGACATCGAACTTCTCTTCTTTAGGATAATGGAAAACATGTGGCGAACGGATAATAACCTCAAAACCAAAGTCGTCCGTCTCTGTTGCTTGAGCCATGTAATATTCATGTAACTGGCGCATATATGTTGTCAGATTTTTATACTCATGATCGGGAACCAAAAGATTACCCCTTTCATACTTCATTGCCGGTGTTCCCATCCCTTGTACATCATAATAGATGTTCGCGGCCTCTTTCATGGTTAATCATGGGGTGTCTTCGACATACTTCTGTATGTTCCTTAAATCTTTATTGTGTATTTCTTCGTCTCTTGTTGTAGCGTATTTATTCTGTGTTTGCCTTTTGAATTCGGACTTCAACAAATATGAAGGCAGTGAGGCACAGAGATTGAAGAAACTAACACAATCTTCCTTTGAGATGTGTGCTGTAAATTTTTCTTTCATCAAGGTGGTAACGCTGCCACTGAACGGTCTTTTTCTTTTTTGTTGGTCCACTTTGGGAGCATTAGCGACCGAATCCAAGGACCTTTTCTACGACTGTGAGGATGTCCTTAATCTTGTTTTGGGCTGAGGTGGAGGAGGAGGAGGATGACGACGAGAATTCTATTTTCCCGACGCTGATGAAGATGGAGGAGTCTCTTTTCTCGGGGCTAATGAAGATGGAGTCGGACGAGGAGGAATAGAAGGAGACCTCTGTCTTCTCGGGAGTGATGGCTCCGGATGAGGAGGGGAGTGATCTCTGTTGGAAGATGGTGAGTGATCATCGTGGGTGGGCGAAGACTCACAGTCGTCCTCATCATTAGAGGACAATTGATGGTCAAGCTTAATGAAGCGCTTGCGCCAGGCCACTTGAGAGCCCTTGTTTTGATCAAGTTTTGGCCTGTCTTCCGCTACGGGGTACTCAATGGGTATCTTGTTATACTTTTATCAAGTATTCTGTCAATGGTGACGCGAGCGTACCCCTGTGGAATTGGGCGGCCATTAATTGTCCCGTCTCCCGTAGGCCAGGCCTGGCCATGTGCCACCTTGTCCTCTGTCCATTCCTGACGGATGTACAACTTGACATTGATGGGTTCGGTGATGCCGTCCACCGGATGAGGCACATTCGTCTCTTCTTCGTTGAGCGGGGTCGATCCGCAGCTGCTACGACCCCTAAACTATGGGCTAAAGGCAGTATGAGTAGGATTTTGTGGTACTCCTGAGCCCTTGGACAGCAAAATTTGCTTGACTCGCGCTTCAACAGTCGCCTCAATCCGTGCTTCCATTCTATCTTCTATCTCTTTTAGTCACCTCAAATACTCTGCCTCCTGTTCCGCTCTACCCCTCGAGCGGCTTTCGGTAAGTGTTAGATTCTTAGGGGAATGCTAGTTTCCAAGGAACAACACTGGTTCCTCTAGTGCGACCAGGGTGCTCCTTGGTTCTGAGTGCTTGGGTGAGCACGTCTTTCTCCCTATTAGAAGTGCGAGTCCCTTGCCTCACCTTCTCAGTTACCTGGGAGATCCTCTGGATGAGTTCGCTCATGGGTTCATTTGTGGAGCTAAAGCTCCCGTCCTCGGTGTGCCGTACATTCCTCCCATACAGTATATTACCGATCTGGGCTCCTAATCGGCGGTCTCAACCTGAACACCTTCCTCAGCAAGACGATCCATCTTTTGAAGTTCTGCTTCAAATTCTGGTATCTTTATGGCGTAGCCACGAGAGCCGAGATGATGAGGATTCGTCGCTTTCTGCGAGTTCTCCTTATTCTTCTTGCTCGGTTCTAGGTACTCCTCGGATAACCTGTATTCCTTAAAATCCTGCCAGAAGTCCTTCTGCTTGCTAAATTGTCCACCATCGCAATCTAGCTCTTTATTTTGGAGGACAAAATTCTTGTACAATGTCCCCTTGAAATTTTTGAAGCATGTCCCCATGATTTCTTTTGCTTTTTTCTTGACTAACTCCCTGTCATACTCCCTTGGGAAAGTAAAATACTCCGGGATCTTGACATCCCATATGTAATCCTTCTCACTTTCGGGAACCCTCCATGGTTCATCATCTTTCCCAATCCACTTCATGTACCTAATCGGGATGAAGTCCCTAACAAGTAACCCGAGGATAGTCTTGTATTTGGTCAAAGCTATAGGCGGTGAGAGTGGATCCCTGAATTCATCGAACTCAGTAATGTGCCAG